CGCGGAACGCGCGCAAACCCGAGCGTGGCGAACGCGCGGGTCCTCGTCACGCAGACGCTGCTCGTGTCGCAGAGCCCGGCGACGGCGGCGCCCCGTCGTGCTCACGCGCACGGACGCGCACCGCTCACCGTCCGAGCGCGACGGCCGCGTACGTGACGCAGTACAGCTCGCCGCCACGAGGACGGCGCTCCCGACGCCGCCGCCGACGGGTCGGAGCCCGCGCCGCCGCCGCTGCCGATCAAGAAGCGCAACATCATGGCGTACATGCAGATGGTGGGCGACTACGCCGTGCCGAACCGAGACGAGCTGCTGCAGCTGAACTGGCGCACGTCGCACTCGCTGATGCGGCACATCGCCGCGACGCCCGCGCTGCAGCAGCTGCAGCCGCCGCGCTGGCCCGCGTGGTCGTCGCACAGCCTGCCGCCGCTGATGACGTCGAGCTCGGACGACTCGGGCATGTTCTCGCTCGACCTGTCGCTGCCGGAGGACGACGCGCCGCCGCCGGCGCTGCCGCCAAAGCAGCGGCACCTGGCGATCGAGGAGGGCCGGGCGGAGGAGCTGGCGGCGAGGGAGGCCGAGCGGGAGCACGGGGAGGAGCGCACGAAGGAGGCCGGGGGGAAGGAGGGTGTCGCCGAGGAGGAGCCAGAGGGGGAAGCCGCGGACGCTGCTGCGACGCACGCGCTGGAGGCCCTCGATCCCGGCTTGTATCTGGTGTGGAAGAAGGAGCGGGAGGAGGGTCCAGACGTGAGGGGAGGCACCGTTGACGGCCTGATCGTGCTCGCCGCCTGTCGCGCGAAGAACCAGAACGGTAAGCGTGCGTCCTCCTTATTCAGCGTACAGTCAAACCTGCGCAGAATGAACCACTGTCTACAAAGGACACATTTGGCATTTCCCGCGGATGACCCTTGGCATATACAGACACGAGTATCTCTCCGTGTCGTCTCGACGTGTTCCGTGCGAAAAGTACGAAACTCGACTGCTGACTTTCTCTGCTCGCTCTGTTTGCAGATTTCCTCTACCAGGAGGCGTTCTTGACGACGTATCGTACGTTCATGGGGTCACGACCTCTGATAGACAAGTTGCTGCATCGCTACCGCGCGTTCAGTCGCTGCGCCGACACTGGAAGGAAGAGATCGTCACGCAGCGCCTTCTCTCTACTCGTACGCGTCGTGGATGAGCTATGGTGAGAGAGAGAGAGCGGGAGAGAAAGCGAGAGCGAGAGAGTCAGAGAGAGAGAGATGTGCGTGTGTTAGCTAATTATTAGGTCGAGATGAAGTGCTGCAGACATTTCATTTTTGTTTTTCATTCTCATTTTTATTTCGTTGGTGCTTGGTTATTTTAGGTTACATGAAAAAAATTGTGTGGCAGGCTGCCTTGCTAAAACAACACTGTATACACACACGCAAGCATGCACACGTATACACACGCCCACACGCCCATGCACGCGTATGTATGTGTAGATCGGGTAGATGGACGTATGCATGCGCGAGTGAATGGATAGATGAGTCGATGTATGTATATGATGGGTGGGTGTGTGAGTATATAGATGAGGATACACGGTGGTGTGATTTCCTGTTACAGCAACACGGTGGTGCCTCTCACAGAGAGAGAGGAGGAGATCCTGAGGGAGACACGGCGATTGGGTGAGGAGTCCTTGCCACCTCCAAAGCCACCCCTCCACCCTAAAACCTCGCCTAGGTGCGTATGATCATCACGGATATATGTAGCGCGTCACACAGACAATAGAATTATATCTGTCGGAGCGAGATAACCACGCCCTCTTGAATATTGTTGCTGTGTTTGTTAATCTTACTCAGTTTGTACATATACGTTACATGTGCATGCCGATTTGTTGACTTAACAGTACTCGGTTACTAAGCACGATTTTTAGAATGCCCCTATCGCAGTGCTGATTGGCTAGACTAGAGTTAACTGCCAAACACTTTACGTTCCCACATTGACGTATGCTGGTATGATGACTGTCACGTACCTGCGTTGCTATGGTGACACGTGCGACGATCGTTGCAGGGTGAGCATGCGGGAGCGGTCGCCAACAGAGGTCGCCGCCGCCGTCATCACCGGCGGCAACCCTCCGCTGCCTCCCAAGCGCAGGCTCAGTGGCTCGTACAGCTCCTGCGATGAGCTGCTGGGAACGGCCCTGCAGCCGGACGACGTAGCCTTCCCACGCGCTCAGTCCCCCGACGTCATCTACTCCCGCGCTCAGTCCCCCGACGTCATCTACCCCTGCGCTCAGTCCCCCGACGTTGTCTACCCCTGCGATCAGTCCCCCGACGTCGTTTTCCCACGCGCTCAGTCCCCCGACGTCGTCTTCCCACGCGCTCAGTCCCCCGACGTCTTTCACCCCGTCGCCGCCGGGTCCCTGCTCGAGCAGCTGCAGAACGGGCAGCTGCGGCACCGTCTCCGCGGCGACGCGTTCGGCGGCGCGCGGCCGGCGAGCGGTCACGTGACCGGCTCGCTGTTCAGCGACCCGTTCTGGACGAACAGCAGCTGCCTGGGCGAGCGGTCGTTCGCGCGGCGCGGCGCGCCCGACACCGGCAGCGACCACAGCTCCGCCGAGGACGTCCTCGCAGCGATCCCCGCGTCTGACTCCGTCGTCGTCGCCGGCGGCAACGGCGCGACGACGACGACGACGCGGCGCGTCGGCATGACGATGGAGCGCACGACGGTGATCAAGTCGACGAAGACGCACGTGACGGTGAGCCAGGGCGTGCAGCGCGTGTCCGTCGCCGCGGGAGCCGCCGCCGCGGTGGAGAACAGCGTCGTCGTCGGTCAGGGCGTGCAGCGCGTCACCGCGGGCGTGCAGCGCGTGACGGTGGCCGGCATGCAGGACGACGGCGTCGTCGTCGGCGACGGCGACGGCGTGCGGCGCGCGACGTCGGCCGGAGTGGTGGACAACTGCGTGACCGTCGGGCAGTGGCGAGCGACGGACGCTGGCGCGGGAGACGGGAGTTGGGGGATGCCGCGACTGACCGCATTGGACAACGGCGTCGCCGCGACGGGAGGGACGGAGGTCGCCGCGGCAACGGAGGCGTCCCCGCCGGCGCTTCCGGACAAGCGGCGGCGGCCGTCGCACTATGACAAGGATTTCCTCCCTCTCTAAAAGGGCTCACCCTACCTAACATCCTGAACACTGCCTCTACCCACGCTCGTCTCTTCGCTCCTCTCTCTCATTCCTCTCTCCTCCTCCCTTACTCGTCCTTTACATCTCTCTCTTTCTCTCTCAGTCATCAGCCTGCTTCCTCGCTACCTACATCTAACCATCAACCTGATTCCCTACATACATCGTAACCTTTCACGCTCATCCATGCAACCTAAACATCTAACCTCACCTTGATCCCCTAAACCTACATCTAACCCACCTCAATATCCCGCTAAACTACACTCTAACGTCACCCTGATTACCCGCCGCAGTAACCGCACCGGAAGAAATCTATCTCTTCTCTCGTCTCTCTCTCTTCTCCCCGGCTCTCTTACATCTAAGACTAACCTGCACACTGATATCTCCCGCTACCTACATCTAACGTCACCTCTTGATTTTCGTCTCCCTCGCGTTCCCTCAAACCTACATCTAACCTCAACTGATTTCCCACTACTCTAACCTCTTAGCTCATCTCTACACCCCTCTTTCTGAATTCCCCTTCTCTCACCTCCTCCTCTCAGCTTAACATCTAAAAAACGGCTCAACCTGATTCCCTACCGTACAATCTAAACCTCACTCTTCCCTACCTACGATCTAACCTCACCTGATCCCCTACTACATCATAACCTGCGCCACCTATTCCCCTACCTACACATCTACCTGCTGTATAATCGCATACGTGACACTAGCCAGAGCTACTTGCACTAATTACAGCTGAGTCAGACACCCATGCTTTTATCAGTAACACGCTGTGTGGGCTGTACCGCGTCTACTAATGCGCAGTAAAATGCACCAAGCCGCCGGGTTCAAACAACTATGACAGACTTGTAATTGGATTAGCAACGCTGGCCGCCGGCTTGCGAGGATGGTGTAGGTGGGAGGGGAGAGGGGTGGGGATGGGGGGGGGGCGTTCTGTCTTAGATACTAGCAGAACTGTTGTGGAAGGAGTCATTCCGCGCTAGCAGGGGTCTGTGGAGGTGAGGTTCCTGATTGCTAGCTGACACAAAGGTCGAATTTACTTGACAGATCGTGTATTGAACAGGCGGTGTGTGAATACTTGCTGTGCCCAAAAGATGTGCTGGAAACAGTGAAATGAGAGAGAGAGGGAAATAGCGAGGGAGAGAAAGGGGGAAAAGGGGGAGAGAGAGGGGAAATGAGGGAGAGAGAGGGGGAAGGAGGGAGAGAGAGGGAAATGAAGGGAGAGAGAGGGGAAATGAGGGAGAGACGAGGGGGAAGGAGGGAGAAGAGGGGGAAGGAGGAGAGCGAGAGCGAAGTGTAACACGGCTAGGCGAGAGAGAGGGGGAAGGATGGGAGCAGAGAGGGGAAGGAGGGAAGATAAGGGCGAAGGAGGGGACGAGAGGGGGGAAGGAGGAGAAAGAGTAGGGTATATTGGGTCACTTGGAGGAGAGAGAGGGGGAGAAGTGCTGCTCTCTGCTTCAACTCTCGATCAAGCTCCTCAGCTTCTCTCCTCAGCTCTCTCCTCTCACCAATAGGCGGCTCATCACGACGCTACGAGTAGAGGAGAAGGACGCTGCGTGAGCGAGCGCTTCACCTCCATGTGGCAGCAGCGACTGAGAAACGCAGCGGGTACGATGGCAAGCAACTTGTCTAAGGCGAGAAGGGTCAAGAGAGTAGGACCGGGCGACATGGAACAAGACGATACGTGATACGGGCGAAGAGGAAACGGCCTGCGCGAGAGAAAGCTGCAAACAGAGCGAGACAGGAGAAAGTCAGCATCGAGTATTCGTAACTTTCGCAACGGAACACTGGTCGAGAGAACACGGAGAGATACTCGTGTCTGTATAAATGCCAAGGTCATTCCACGCGGGAAAATGCCAATGTGGCGCCTTTGTGAGACAGGTGGTTCATTCTGGCCAAGGAGTTTGAGCTAGTAGGCTGAATAAAGGAGACGGCAGAAGGAGGGCAGAGAGACAGGGCGAGGAGAGGGTGACGGAGGAGGGAAGATAGAGATTGGTGGGAGAGAGACAGGGGGAAGCGAAGAGAGAGAAGGCAGATAAACCCTTACCGCTTCTGGGTCCGAGAGAGAAACCGGCGAAAAGGACAGGGAGCAGGGAAGTGAAGGAGAAACGAGAAACACGGTGAACGAGAGGAGAGACGGAGAAATAGGGGAGAGTGGATATCAGCGGGGGAGGAGGGAGACACAGCGTAAAAGAAGGGGCTGAAGAAGTGGGGTAGAGCATGTCTACCTCACGTCTGGGACGCGGCGTCTACGGAAAGCGCTCATTCTTCCACGAGCCGAGAGTACAAGATATAGCGCGGGATGACGAGGGGGCCTCCAGCGCGTGCGGTCGAAGCAGGCGTAGGCAAGCTTCCACCCTCGTAGGGGAAGAGGAGAGTAGCAGCACATAGCCATGAGAAGCGAGAGGGGCAGGAGGCACCGGAGAAAGAGAGGAGAGAGAGAGAGGGGAAGAGGGAGATAGAGAGGGAGATAGAAAGGGGGAGAGGTGATCTACTCGTTCTATATGTCTCGCTCTACCCAGGCCGCCCTTCGGGGTTAGCAAAGGGTCACTAATCTAGCGCGCGTGGACGCAGTCCTAAGCTCACCCCGACGCCAGATACCAAGATCCCGGACAACACAAACTGACACACATCCCAGACAACACAAACCTTGGCAAACTCCTCAAGCCCAGAGGCACAACTGCGCAGCCAAATCCATCGCTCACCGCCCGGACAGGCAACTTTGCAAATCCCGAACAACACAAATGCAACATCCTCACAACACAAACGCAGAATCCCACACAACACAAATGCACAACCGCCCCTCGGACGGGCCAGGTTGCGCCGCTGCTGGTTTGGCGGACAGCGCGCGGCCGGCCGGCAGCGGTAGTCGTCCTCGCGGCAGGGCGACAGTCGAGTCGACACGAACGAATGGCTGAGTCGTTCCGAGCCTTCACGTCGACAAATGCACCGACAAATGGCAAAGAGCGCAGCGACACCTGTGCGACGCGCACAACCACAGCGGGCGACAGCAAAGACGTCAAAAGTGCCCGGATCAGCAAGCTGCATGCAGCGCGGCCGTCCCCGCGACGGCGCAGAGATAGCATAGAGCTGGCGCATGCAGCGGAGTGCGACGTGCGCTGCCCACATACACAAGCAAACAACGTTCTCTCAGCAACGCCAACAATCGACAAGCTATCAGCCTGCGGAGCATTCGGACACACGGCGTAGTACGCCCACAAATTGCTGCATGTAACGCCAAAACTGAATGTGCGGCTTCGTATGATCGGACAGGCGGCACGGACGGCGCCGGCGTTACCGACCAGTCGCAGGCGGGCTCGGGAGCGCGTCCTCAAAGGAGAGCCAAATCCCCTGCCCAGCGCGCGTGAAGGATACGGTGCAGCCAGACGCTGTACTCCGCGTCACGACGCGGGCCAGTCGCGGTCTCGCCTGTACTGTTCTGTACTGGCGCGATTGTCATCTCACGCAGATAGATGAATCAGGATAATGCTTACATGACATATGCCCCAATTGGGGGTGCGTGCGCCTTGCTCACCTGATTGTAGTACCCAGCTTGCGTCTCATAGCGCGTCCGCACTCGCCGGACCGTGAGCCCGCACAGCCGGCGCCGGCCGTCGCCCTATTCCGCTACGCTATATGGCCGGTAGAGTAAGCTGCCGTTAGAGAAGGGCAGGAACAGCGGGAGAGGCAACGGATGCATGTGCGGATCGGAAAGCAAGCAAAGGAGGGGGAGTAAGGCGGGTGGTAGGCAGGAGGGGGAAGGAGGAGGGGGAGAAAGCTGGTGGAGAAGGAGAGGGGGAGAAGGGAGAAGGCTGGTGAGGAAGAGGAGGGAAAGCATGGTGGAGAGGATGGGGGGAGAAGGGAGAAGGCTCGGTGGAGCGAGGAGGGCAGTGAGGTCGGGCCAGGGGAGGATAGGGAAGAAGATGGTAGAGAAGGAGGAGGGGGAGAAGCTGGATGGAGGAGCGAGGAGGGGGCAGAAGGCTGGTGAGAAAGGAAGAAGGGAGAAGCTGGTGAAACGGAGGCTGAGAAAGCTGGGTAGAGAAAGAGGAGGGGAGAAGGAGAAGGCTGTAGAGAAAGTGAGGCAGGGCGGCGCAGAAGCTTCTGGGTCTGATGAAAGGGGAGGCGACCGGGAAAAAAAGAAAGGCTGGTGGAAGAAGGAAGAGGGGAGAATGGGAGAAGCTGGTGGAGGAGGAGAGGGATCGAAGCTGGTGGAAGGAAGGAGGAGGGGGACAGGAAGCTGCGTGAAGGAGGAGGGAGGGGAGCAAGGGAGAAGCTGGTAGGAGCAAGAGGAAGGGGAGAAGGGAGAAAGACTGAGTGGAGGCAGGAGGAGGGGGAGAAGGGAGAAGGCTGGAGAGAAGAGAGGAGGGGGAGAGGGAAGAAAGGCTGGATTAGGAAGGAGGCACGGCGGGAGAGCAAGCTGTGGAAGAGGGGGAGCGGCTGGGGGTCGCAGAAGGCACAGGTGAGAAGCAGGATGAAGAGGGAGAAGCTGGTAGAAAGAAAGAAGAGGGGGAGAAGGGAGAAAGCTGGGTAGACGAAGGAAGAGGGGAGAAAGCTGGTGAACGAAGGAGGAGGGGAGAAGCTGGTGAAGAAGGAGTAGCGAGGGGAGAAAGGAGAGAAGCTGTGGAGGAGGAAGGAGGGAGAAGCGTGGTGAAGGAGGAGGCGGCACGTTTGT